TTATCTATATTTGGCCCAAATATGATAGAGAAATTCTTAGGCTAGAAAACCACTTTTCCATCTTTTGGCTACAATCAAGTGTAAAACATTTATTTGGAAATTCAGATTTAACTAGGTTGCTGTATCCTACCTGACAGTCATAACCTGAAATCTCCTAACTTTCTCATTCTTCACAGACTAAACCTTTACTAAATTTAGTTGTTTTTGAAGCATGACTAGTTGGGCCACTTTTGTCTAGTCATCTACTTTCTCGAGGTCCAAAAGTATTCATTTGAAAACTAAGAATTATAAAAGCGCTTTCATAGATTTGCTGTAAAATGAAAGAATATTAATTGTGTGAAGTAACTCCCGGAGTGTGACGGGTCCCGCCCAAGCCCCATTCGACCAAGACTACAATTCCCACAATCCCGAGCGGCGTCTCCCCGCCATTACCTCATTCCCCGGCCTCTTTCTCGCCAATCCCCTCCTCTCCCGGGGTGGGGCAGCTGGGCTGTTCTCGCGAGTTCTGCTTTGCCCTGCTGCCGTGCAGCTGTTGTCGCGAGACTTCTCGCGCCTCCGCCTCCTCCGCCGCCGCCTCAGCCCGAGACCGACTCAGCCTCTCCCCTATCCGAACACCGGCCGCGGCCCCACCGAGGCCCCGGTGCCCCGCCCCGCCTCGCCGCCGCCATGGCGGACCCCAAATACGCCGACCTTCCCGGCATTGTGAGTACTGGGCGGCCCGGCTCCCCAGGACCGCACCCCGGCCTCCCGAAGACCCCGAGCCGCTCGACCCGGACCCCGCCCGCCAGCCTCCGCGCCGGGGGCCCCGCTGCGCCCCCAGGGACGGGTCAGCGCGACTGGCCAGGGCCCTGTGCCGGCCTGGTAGGCCCTGGCCGGCAGCCTCGGGCTTCTTGACCCAAAAGTGATCAGGGCGCTGGCGCCGTGTCCGAGTGCTCCCCCATCCGCACCGGCGCCCCTGCGTAGCCCCGGGTCTCCTCAGCCCATCCAGACGCGCGTTCCCGGTGCCCGATGGTGCCTTCCCCTGCCAGGAGGAGGTTCCCGGGCGGAGCGCTCGCGCCAGATGGAGAACCGAGCCCAGGGGCGTCTGCCCGCCGCTCCCGCCCTGTGCCGCCCTTGAGGCGCTTTCCCAGTCTTGGGTCGGGCGGGCACTGGACGGTCACTTTGATCCCCTGGGCCTGGGGAGTGCGCACAGGCTTAATTGGAGGGTAGCCACCCGCTTCGGACATTACCCTTTCCAAGGGTCCTCCCCTCCCCCCTTCAATTTCAGGGTCACAACTTATCACTTACATCCACTATTGAGCGGCAGGTCCACCGGCCCCCCTGTCATCTCAGGCCTCTTGGTCCATGAGAACTGATGTCAGGTGATGGGGCAGGTGGAAGAGATGGGCAGAGCGCTGGCATCACAGCCCGCCTTGCCAGACAGTCCCTGCGGCGAGGTGTTTGCAGGTGCAGGGTAGTGAGGTTGGGTGGTCGCTGCTTCTTCCTGCAGGCCAGGAACGAGCCAGATGTCTATGAAACCAGCGACCTACCTGAGGATGACCAAGCGGAGTTTGATGCGGTAAGACCATGCGCTGCCTCAGGACTCCTGCCTCCTCCCCTAGGCCAGCCCTTCCCTCCCTGGACAGCCGCAGCACCCAGCGAGTGTGCGGGCCCAGCCGGGGTGATGGGTAGTCCGGGGCTTGCTGGGCTTGAGCTGGCCAGGAAGGGGCCAGCCCAGAATTTTAACTACCAAGACCTGAGCGTAGGACCTTTTAAATAACATGCCTAAGTGCTCGCTTTGGCAGCACATGGACTAAGTAAAACGAAAATATGCCCAACCCGGTCGGAGACTAGTAACCCAGCCAGGCCCCAGGGTGCTAGTCTCTGTTAATGACGACTGCTTGGTAGGTAAAATACTTCACTCAGCGCATGCTCCTTGGTCTTACCAGGAGCTAGACTCTGAAGTACAGCGGAATGTGCTTATATGAATGGCCAGTGTCCACCGGGCATCAACTGTTACTTTTTTTGTTGTTAATAGAAGAACTGGGGCACAGGCCAGAGGTGGGTGGGGTGGGTGAGGACTCCCCAGAGACAGCGTGGGGAGCAGAAAAGGCGGATGGACTGAAACTGCTGAGGGGAGCAGCGGCTGTATCAGGAGGGGTCTGCTGGGCCCTGCGGGTCACTGTCTGGCCAGGGATGGAACTCAGGCCGTAGCAGTGATAGTGTGATAGCGCTGAGCCTGCTTGTTAGGAACTAGGCTCCCAGTGAAGATTTTAGAAGGATAAGTGACCTGTCCAGAGTGAAGCAAATTTTAGGAATGACTTAAATCTTTTGAATCAGCATAAGAGAGACCCCGGTAAGACTTTCAGACCACAGCAAAACTCTCAGGACTTCACTGTGGACGCATTTTTTATCAGGAGGGGACCACTGAGTGTTGTTTATTGGAACGTTCACTCCATTGATTTTGGTGTAATGTGCAAGAAGGCCGAGTCCCTGCTCCCAAGGATCCCTCAGGCGAAGCGGGGGAGTTAGGTGATTACAGGAAGTACAGAGAGGGAAAGCAAACCTGGGTGAATGGAAATGCACTGTGAGTGCGTGGAGAAGAGAGGTCTGTCCGTGTCTTACAGCTGGTTAGGTTCTGTTATGTCCAGGGCATGCTGGACTTGGTCACCCTGGTGACGTGAGTGCTCAGGACCGCTGTGGCAGGAGTGCGTGGGAGCAGGCTCAGTGTCTGAGTCCGTGGGAGCGGGCGCGGCGTTGTGAGTCCAGGGCTGTGTCTGTGTGGCTGGTCGGTTCTGGAAAACGCTTTTTGCTGGCTGATGTATGGCTTGGAGTTCTCACTGACTTGATTTTCCCCTTGTGGAAGTGGTTCCCACTTTGTGGGGAACACCTTCCCAGTCCAGTCCCTCTCTCAGTGGTGTGTTTCTCGTGGCTTCTGTACTTGCTGGCATGTCAGTCTGTCCCCAGCTTGAGTATCTGGAGCTAACGCAGATGCAGTGGCTGAGAGCCTGGGGGGCACCGCTCCTGTCCGAGGAGGGCTGGCTCGGGCTCACAGGGTCGGTCGCCTGCCAAGGCTTCCTCGGCACAGTTCAGAAACTGGTCCAGGCCTCTGCCTGCAGATGCCACACCCTCCTGAGATAAGGATGCAACTTTGCCCCATTTTCGGTGAGCCGGACAGGCAGTGTCGCTGTGGTCCCCTTTCCAAACCAAAAACAAATTCATTGTAGTTTCCCTTGGAGGGCCTGGGATGACGCTAATAAAGAGAAAGTGACCTCTGCCCAGGCGTGGGCGAGCCTGACTGCGGCCTTGATTGGCTGGCTCTCCCTGGTGACCCTGAGCGGCCTGTTGTAGCAGCACCTGGCAGGTGACTGGTGGGAGAGGACACTGTCCGTGTCTGCCCCCTGCAGCACAGTGCCCAGCAGGCAGGCCTAGCTGGGTGGCGAATGTAGGAGGGCGTGGGGGGACCTTGCCTGCTTCAGGAGCCCTGGGGAAGGGGCCAAGGAAAGGGGCCAGTGAGTGAAGTCAGCCAGTGAGTGGCCCGACGTGCCCCTGTAGGCTTTGTGAGGGCCACTCTCGGGGGTCAGCTGAGCAATGGTGCTGCTGCCGCCCTTGATACTGACGTACCGTGCGCCGAGGTGCAGTGCAGCAGCTAGACGCTCCAGGCTTCACGTGGGGAGACCCGGGTGCTCGGTAGCGGCCTCTCCTCACCTCCTTTCCTAGACTGGGCCCCTTCCCAGCACACAGGCCCCGTGCTGGTCCCACACTGTGCTGCACCCCGAGGTTTCCAGTCGCCCGTCTCAGCCTTAGTGATAGCGTTGCCCTGCCTTCCTCTCCAGATTATTTTCAATTTTAATTGTATTTGTTTTCAAAAGCAGGTAACATTTGCATATAGAACAAGTTTCTCTTCTCACCGTTGCTGACAACACTCACTCCCTTCCTTGGAGACCGCAGTGTAGCCCGCTTCTATGGAACCTCTTCTGGGGGGGCTGTCTTCAGACTTCCATGTGAAGGACTAGTCAAACAGCCTTGGCCCTCGCTGTCTCCCTCTCTTCTCTGCTTGTCTCCTGGGGAAGAAGGCAGGTGCTAGGGAGATAGCTTCTGTGTAAAAGCTTTTTCATTCTCACAGTGGAGAGGACGGGAGAGAAACTAGTAGCGGGTTTCAGTTTGGGCAAAGCTGGCCCTGCCCTGCCTTTTCTGCTGGCCCTGTAAAGCAACCACAGCTGGAGGTTGAGTGTTCTCAGGTGAAGGGGCCCGGACACCGCACGGACTGGCCCCCCCAGGCTAGAGGGGCCTCCTCTGGGGCTAGGGCACTTCTGGGTTGGTAGGGAGACTTACTAGTGTCTCCCTGGTGAAGCCGACTCGCCCTGGCCCACAAGCCTCTGCTTGTGACGTTCTGCTCAAGCTTTGACCTGCTGGAGCACGGGCTAAGTTGGAAGCCCTCGCTGGCCTGGGAGGCAGCCTCCCCACAGGCCTCCGCATGCCAGCGTCGCCTGTGCCTGTGAGGGGTGACCAGCCCCAGTTGGGGGGCCCTGCGGCAAGCTGCAGGCCACCAGAGGGGGCTCCTGCAGCCCGAGAGAGGAATTTAGGCTCTCCTGTGTGCACCCCAAGGGGTCGTAGAGTGTGTGTGATCGTGTCTGGACTTGGCACACTTAAACTTATGTGAGTTTTTCCCGATGCTTCCCCATCCTCCCTCCTCACCACCTTGCCTGGACTCTAGTTTGCACAAGTAAGACCATTCGGCGCTTCTTTGCATGCTGTCTCCTCCCGCCACCCGCATGCGATGCGCTGCCGCTGTGCTTCTCGTAGCTCTTTGTTTTAAGTTTAATGAGTCCTGAGCTGGGTCACCACAGATCCACTGGCCTTCCTGTAGAGGTCACAGCCAAGGTTAGACGCACAGCTGTGACGCGAATGGTCTCTCCCTGTGAGGCTGAGGGATAAAACTGTCCAGCAGAGGATGGGGTAGAAACACGGAGGCTACACATGTTTCAGGGCTAGATGGGGCTGCCTCTCCTCAGACCGAAGTGGACTTGAGAGAAAAGGGGTGACCTTCAGCATTCTAGACAGGAGAGCGAGGGGGACAGCCGTAGAGCCGCTCGTTTCCCAGCTGTGCTGGGTTAGCCCACGTGAAAACCCCTTTCAGTATCCCCGTGTCACGCCAGTACAGGAGGTAAGTGGGATTGGAAAGGCGGCGTTAGGGTGAAGGCCTGGGTGACCCGGGCTTTCCTCAGTCTTCTTGTTTCTGCCCCTCCCTGAGGCATGGGTGGGGTCAGCACTCGGCTGCTCCATCTGGACAGTTTCATCCTCTGGCGTCCCCATCCTTGTCACCGCGGGCCTGACCCCCGGCTGGCTGAGTGTTACCCTGGAGCCCGAGCACGCGGAGTGGCGGCGACCTCTCCCCTGTCGGATCGAGAACCCCAGGTTTCGCCCTGTGAGACGCAGGCGCTTAGTCTGGGGTCCACCGGGCGAGGGCTTGGGGTTTTCAGCCAGGCGCTGGGATGGCCGGGCTCTGTGGTGCGTGACTACCCAGGTTGTGGGATTGTGCTGTGTCACAGCCGCACCCACACCCCCGAGGGCGGGTTCTACTATTTACAAATAGTCACTTTTTGGCACTTTTCTGTCTTTCCCTTGTTCCTCATGATCTGAACTTGAACTTACTGCCCATTGTCCTCTCCTCGTTTCTCCTGAGCTGGTTTTAGCTCGGTGGGGCAAGGAAGAGGAGGGGAGAGTTTGTGGCCTCCTCTGACGTGTCTGCATGTGTGCGCTGTGAGTGCTCACCCGCTCTGCACCGGCCCAGCCTGGGGGCCTCGCCCCACCTCTGTCCTGAGCCGAGAGGCGTCTCGGCTGGGCTGGACCCTGACGTCTCCGGGGAAGGAGAGGTTCCGGTTCTGGCATCTCCATCCGAACACTCGGAGCAGGATGCACGGTGTGTGCGTTGCGTGTCACGCGGCGCTGCTGGCGGGGCAGGGCACCGCTGGCCCCTTCCTGGCTGGCCGCCAGACTGGGCTGGACACGGGAGCCTGACCTCGTGGCCTGGGCTAGCCAGGTCTTTGCGAAGTGCTCGCACCTTTCCCCTGTCGAAACGCCACGCTCTGCCCTTGGGTGGGTAGCGGCGTGTCTCGGTGTCACCTGCCCCTGTGAGGCTGCTCCGGCTCCCCTGGCTGCGGCGTGAGCCGCCACCACTCTTGGTAAATACACTGCCCGGCCCGGGGACCACATGGCCCTGCCTCTCCTGGCGTGCGGGGGTGGGCTGCACCGAGGCTCCTTCGCGTGTCCTTAAGCTCACAGTCTGTACCTGGGACACGTTCTGCTCAACCTCGAGTCCTCTCAGACCGTGTGGTGAGTGGTTCTGCCATCCAGATGTCTGATTCTTCAAGACTGGAGAGGCTGGGAGCGGGAAAAATGGAACCCTGAACTGTTGAGGGAAACTCCCCTGAGAATTGCGTGCTCCCAGCCAGCTCAGGCCTTCAGACTCTCTAGAGCTTCTGCTTCACGTTCTGCGGTGTCCCCAGCTCCACCCCCCCCCCCCCCCCCCCCCCCCCCCCCCCCCCCCCCCCCCCCGCAGCCTTCTCTGCCTCACCGCCCCGCTGGCAGCAGGCACCTCACCCCAGTTCTCAGACGGCCTTCAGTCGCTGCTGCCGACGGACGCTGCGGGGCATCCTCACCACCAGAGAGGGGCGGTCAGGCTCTTCCTCCTGGGTTTATGGCCACTCCAGCTGAAATTTTTGGCCCCAAGTTTTGCTAGGTCCCCCGGGCCCTGTGTGCAGTGTGTTTGAAGACAGTCATGTAGTGCATGTGACAATTTGCTAATAAAACTTTTGTCTTTTTTTCTCCCCTCCCTCACCCGTTTCCCCACTCCCTTTCCGTCTAACTCTTGATTCTCTCACCCTGGGGAAACCACAGGAGCTGGTAAGAAGCCCTACCTTTCGCCTGCTTTCAGGGGTGTGCTGTGAGGGGTGGGTCTTCCTCTCCTTCCCTCTGCTCAGCCTCTGTTGTCCTCAGCCCCACCCTGGTCGCGGCCGAGTAGGTGCCCCCTGGAGGACTGAAGCGTGGCCACCTGCAGAGGCACCCAAGGGTGCCTCTGGCGTGGGCCGGCTCTGCTGGGCTGGGGCTGCGCACTCCCGGTGGCTGCTCCCCTCCCCACGCCGAGCCAAGTGCACAAGGCGGCCGGCGTCGTGTGCCTGGCCGTGGTAAGGGCTCCCAGGGAGCAGTGCAGGTGGACTCTCTGCTTGGTCTGCAGGCTGCGCCTCCCACTCTCTTTAAGGGGAGTTTTAAATTCGCCTCCACGTCCCCGGGGAGGAGCGGCATATTCCCGAGTGGGACCGAAGGAAGGGCCCTTTCCTCAGCGTCAGCCCCTTCTTCCAGACACTCCGAGGCCCCAGACCCTAACTGGAGGGTTCTGGCACACTTGAGAGATGGGCAAGATGGTCACGCGAGACTCGGTTATCTCTTTCCCGGCACTGGGGCCCCGAGCCCTCTGGTTTCCCCTAAGCTTCTGCTCTTGCCCTTCCCGCCAGCACTTCCCCGAGGAGATAAAGATCAAAGCTGTTTTCTCCTCACCTCCTCTCCTCCTTGGTTCCTTCTGTAATTGCATACCACAGTGGACCACAGTGACGGGAGCTCCGTCTTCTGCTCTTGATAATGTCTCTCCGTCATCACCCCCCTTTTTCCTCGACCCCCCGGACAGAGCCTCAGTCCTGGTTGTAGGTTAGCGTTATCTGGGCAGCTTTTAAATTGGCCGACTGTCCCGGCCTGACCCTGGATAGTTAGGTCAGACTCTGTGTGGCCAGCCCAGGTCTGTCTGGCTGTCTTCTTTTTTTTTCTGTTCCTTTTTATGACTTCTAAGTGATTCTGTAGCGCGGCCAGGGTTAAGAACATGGTTTCGTTAAAGACTCCCTTGCCTTCCCGCTGTGGAAGGTCGTGGCGTCTTCCCAAACAGACGGGCCTCCTGGTCTCCTCCCTTCCGTTGGCGGTGGGAGCTGCCAGGCTTACACTTGAAGGAGAGCGAGGCTTTCCCGGGCCCAGACTTGGTGTAGTGAGTGGACTGGACAGCAAGTAGGTATTGTGTCGGGAGGCCACCTTGGCTCCATTTCTAGACTAGCACCTCTCCCTTTCCTTCCCTTGTTCCTATGATTATGGAGGCGCTTCAGTGCTTGAGACACAGCAGAGGAGTCCAGGAGAAGTGGCAGGGTTTGCCACTTCTGGAAAGATGCTGGGCTGTCCTCATGTCAGGACTGAACATGTGGTGCTTGCCCTGCGTAGTGCGCTGGGCAGGCAGGTAGCCGTTTCTGAGGCGTCCCTCACAGTGGGGTGCAGAGCCCCTTGCCGGCTCTCCCCACAGCTCCTTGACTTCATGGCGGCCTGGTCAGGCCCTGCCAACCTTCCCGCAGCTTGGAGGGTGTCTTCTCTTCAGCAGCATGGTGACCTTCTCATGTGCATGCCCACGTCAGCCGTCTGCCTGCCGGCGGCCTCTTCCCTCACAGCAGGGGGTGGGGGTGGCTTGAAGACAGACTCCTTCGGTGGCCAGAAGCTGACTTTTGGGAGGGGGGTTAAGAGAGTCCAGTTGGGTTCTTGCCCTGAGTGTGAGGCACGTGGGGAGGGGACTGGGGAGCCTGATGTGGGCGCGGCAGTTAGGATGTCACTGTCAGTACAGCCAGACTCCAGGGGGCCTAGGAGTTCCCAGCCCCACCGCGGAAAGTGGATGAGAAGCTAGGGATGGAGCGACCTGCTTTCCCCGTGGGGACACAGGGCCAATCTCTGGGTTACCTGGGGGTTTCCAGGGCTTGGGGAAGTTCTGTGGGGGAAATGTCTGCCCTTGGCTAGAACTGCCTCTTCCTGCAGGAGGAGCTGACGAGCGCCAGCGTGGAGCACATCATTGTCAACCCCACCGCCGCCTATGACAAGTTCAAGGACAAGAGAGTGGGGACAAAGGGGCTTGGTAAGGCTGGGAGCGGGTCAGCAGCCTTTATGTCCTGGGCCTCTGGCGCTGTGGCTGCGAGAGCCTGGGCCTGGCCCAGGTCTGGCCGTCAGCTCTGCTTCCTCTTTCTGCAGATTTCTCAGATCGAATTGGGAAAGCCAAGAGAACAGGATACGAGTCTGGAGAATACGAGATGGTCTGTTGGCGCGTGTGCTGAGAGAGTGGTGCGGGGATCCTGCAGGCACTTGGGGAGAGCGAGGGGCGCCGGGCTGCCGGCTGTCTTCTAGTGGGAGTCCCTCCAGCTGTAACTCCCTTTGGGCTCGGGGTGGGCGCATTCCGAAGATTCCCCGCACTGGCGTGACGTGGCGCCTGCATGTTCTCCAGCTTGGAGAGGGCCTGGGAGCAAAGGAGACACCCCAGCAGAAGTACCAGCGACTGCTGCATGAGGTCCAGGAGCTGACCGCTGAGGTGGAGAAAATCAAGGTAACTACGTTCCCCTCTGGTGCGACCAGAGGAGGGGCCTCCCCCAAGAGACACGCTCCTGGCCTGGGCACAGTCCCCGTATAGGAGCACAGGGACGCATCCTCGGCGCAAGCTGGCCTGGAGCTTCCAGGCACAGCTGCCCTTCGGGCTCTTGAGCCTTCCCCTCACTCATCCTTGCCACCCCACTCCTCATGCAGACGACGGTGAAGGAGTCGGCCAGCGAGGAAAAGCTGACGCCCGTGGTGCTGGCCAAACAGCTGGCAGCCCTGCGGCAGCAGCTGGCTGCGTCCCACCTAGAGAAGCTGCTGGGACCCGACGCGGCCATCAACCTTACTGACCCTGACGGCGCGCTGGCTAAGTGGGTGCCCTGTCCATGGGGAACTGCTGTCGGGCGTTAGGAGAGTGCAGGCGCGTGCTGACGTAGCTGAGGGGAAAGCGGGCCTAGCTGGCCTGCAGCCTGCCGCACGGGTGGGCGGACAGGCGCAAGGGACCGGCCCTGCCCTCCGAGCCGGCCCAGCAAGTCTTGGGGCAAGCACTTGGTCTCTTGACCCAGGCGCCTGCTGCTGCAGCTGGAAGCCACAAAGAACAGCAAGGGGGTTGGCCTCGGGGGCAAGGCCGCCAGTGGGAGCCCGCTGGACAGCAGCCTGGTCACCTACGAGCTGCACTCTCGACCTGAGCAGGACAGGTTCTCGCAAGCTGCCAAGGTAAACTCCGCGGTGTGGCCCTGGAGACCGCTGCCTCCCTACAGGAGCTCCGGCTGGGTGGGGCTCTGGGAAAGTCTCCTTGTCTGGGGCCCTTTCCTCCTGCGGCTACTTTGTTGCCAGTAAAGATTGTGAGTGACTGGATGAGTCCCAGGGAAGGGGAGGGAGGGGCGGAGGGACGCACAGTAGACAGCAGGGGCAGGGCGGCTCTTCCCTCCCGCCGCAGGGGAGGCAGGGGAGGCTGATGGCCGGCGTCTCCCTCCTCCCCCAGGTGGCAGAACTGGAAAAGCGCCTGACAGAGCTGGAAGCTACTGTACGCTGCGACCAGGACGCGCAGGTCAGGCGCGCTCCTCTGCTAGTCTGCACCTCGGCTCCTGCACCTCTGGGCCCCGGGATCCCACAGAAGCCTGGGAGGAGTCAGGAGAGGGCCCCGCTAGAGCCGGATGTGGGGGGGGTGGCCATCACGTGGAAGTAAAAAACCCGATTTCTCTGCTCTTTTCCCACCAGAACCCTCTTTCTGCAGGTCTGCAGGGTGCGTGTCTTATGGTGAGTCTGGCAGGAACCGCGGTCATCGCTTACGGGGCCTGGGCTGGGTCTGCTGAGAGTTGTTTTTGGATCTGTAGCTGCATGTTGGTGCCGTGGGATGCTGACTTGCTCCTCTTAGTCTGATCCCTCATGGGACCTGTCCCCCACCCCCACCCCCAGGAGACCGTAGAGCTGTTGCAGGCGAAGGTGAGCGCCCTGGACCTCGCAGTTTTGGACCAGGTGGAGGCCCGGCTACAGGTAGCGCGTGGAGGGCGAGGTGGTTACAGGTAGCCCGGGGCTGGGGCCGCGCCGGTGTCCTGATGGGCCTCACGTCTGCTTCCAGAGTGTGCTGGGGAAGGTGAATGAGATCGCCAAGCACAAAGCCTCCGTGGAAGATGCAGACACACAGGGCAAGGTCAGGAACACCATCCGCCTTCAGGCCTGTGCCTGCCGCCGCCCGGCTGTGCAGTCAACCTGGTGGTGGCCGCCGCCCAGCGGGCGAGCGGGAGAGGCCCCAGCTAAGCAGCCATCAGTGTGGCTCCCCGCGCGGCCCCGGCCCCTGACGCCCACGTCCCTCCAGGTCCACCAGCTGTATGAAGCTGTGCAGCGCTGGAGCCCCGTCGCCTCCACCCTCCCTGAGCTGGTACAGAGGCTCGTTACCATCAAGCAGCTGCACGAGCAAGGTGGGGAGGCCCTGCGGGCGCCCAGCGGGTTGGGTCCCCGCCCCGCCCGGGGACCTGACCTGCTCACACTGTCCTTGTAGCCATGCAGTTCGGGCAGCTTCTGACGCACTTGGACACCACACAGCAGATGATCGCGGGCTCCCTCAAGGACAACGCTGCACTCTTAACCCAGGTGTGCGGCCCCACTCGGAGGCGGGTTCTGCGGCCCGAGGGGGGGCGGCCAGGGTCTGCCAAGTGCGAGCGGCTGAGGGCTTGGCTCTCTCCGTGCCGGTTTTCGGCGATGGCTGGACTTGACACTTACTCCGATTTTTCATCACCTGGAAAATTCTCCTTCCGTCAATTTGTGGACTAGGCGAGGTGCGTGGCGGTTTTCCCCATGAAGCCCACCCTTTCCTCCTGTAGTCTCCGCTTGGTGCCGCTTCCCGGGAGCCCCCCCGAGACGCTCCGGAGCGTAGGGTGGGGCACGGACAGGGCCCTTTGGCCTTGGCCGCGGACCCGCCCTTCCCCTCAGTTCCGTGAGCAGAGCCCACGACTGTGGCTCCTTGGCGCTCTGGCAGCGCTGTGCCCAGCCGGCGAGGGGAGGCCTCCGCCTGAGGGAGGCAGCGCGGGACGAGTGGAAACGACCGCGTCCGGTGTGTGTGCTTCCTCTTTCCTAAAACTCTGAACCAGTAAAACCCACATCTCCACACAATCAGATTTGGCGCTCGTCGCATCAACGGATCAAAGCTGTTCCGGCCGAGGCCGGGTGAGGCGCCGAGGCCGGGTGAGGCGCCGCGTCCCGCCTGCCCGGCAGACCCGAGGCAGCTTGAGAACGGCCGCGCCAAGCGCTGCACCCGGCTCGGCTGGGTTTCCGCGCGCCGCTTCCGTTCCTCACCCGTGGAGTACGTGGACCTGACCAGGAGTAAGGCCTCTCTCACTTTCTAGGTGCAGACCACCATGCGCGAGAACCTGTCCACAGTCGAGGGGAACTTCGCCAGCATTGACGAGCGGATGAAGAAGCTGGGAAAGTGAGCGCCTCTGGGAGACGGAGAGAGGGTCCCCCCAACCCTCTGAGCTCTAACAGCTGCGTAGTTTCCCCGTAATCATAGCACTCATGCCCCCCGTCCCCTTCGACACTGGCGGGGCGGGGGCTCTTCTTGCATGTGGGGCTCACGCCCCTCCTCTGGTGAGCAGAGTGGTAGTGGGGGACGCTAGGTGGTCTCTCCTCCGGCCCCGTGCTGGCTGCGTCCAGGCTGCTTTGCTGGTGTGGGGGTGCGCGGGTCCTTCGGCACAGCTGCCGTGCCGACTGTAACGCCGTCCGGCTGTTTCTGACCATTAAATACCGTTGTGCTCCGCGGCCTCTGCTGTGCTTCCTCGAACAGGCGGTCCTGGCGCGACACTGGCAGCCCAGCCCCCTCGACTACTAGCTTTCTACCAAAGGTTAGGGAAAGAACGAGTACAGAGTCAGAGCCAGAGTTTCAAAATATTCTCATCTGTTAAATTAAGAGTGTCTCCCATAGAAAAGCAGTGGAGGCCCCACGGGGCGAGTACAAAACAGAATTAAAACTCCCAAGGGTCTTGTCTTTACAAAAGAAAAGGCAGGAGGCAGCCCCTGGACAGCTGGTCGTGCTGGCCGCTCCGGCTGGACCACGTTGCATAATCCTCGGTCGCATCATCACAACGTCTCTGAGCATTTTGATGGGGAGAAGGGGCAGTGTAGTGTGTGTGGGCGGGGGGCCGCAGGCTCCCGTCGCCCCCCTGCCCCTGTTCCTATCCCACAGGGAAGCAGAGGGAAGCTGGCTACACGTGGAATGAGGCTGTGTGTTTCAAACCTGGGGACCGGGCAAGGGGGGACCTGTGCTTTGAGCAACCTGAGCCAGAGGCAGAGGGGTGCTGGAGGGAGGGGCGCGTGGTGCTTATTGCTTTGTACCTTTCACTGGGAAGGAAGGGGGGCAGCAGCAGCTCACAGGTTTGTAAACTGAGCCTGCTGGCTTCAAGAGGGGAGGCAATGAAGTCGAATTAAATATCAAAACCGTTTGTGCAAAAATAACTTAAACAAATAAAAGACCTGGGGAAGGGGGTGTTCCCCTTAGCCTGGCGGGAGAGGGCCAGAGACCACCCCCGCCTGCCTTTTCAGTGACATGGCTTTGGGGGAGGGGGAGCTTCCCTACCCCCTGCAATGGCTCAGGATGGGTTGTAGGGCGGGGCTGCGTTGTGCTCTGCGGGAGTCGTGCCCCACCCACTGTCCGCAGGTGCAGGCGGCCGCGGGGGCTCCCAGGGCTCAGCACTCAGCCCCCAGGCAGGGTCAGCGCCAGCTCCAGGTGTGGCTGCTAGGGGGCCAGCTTCCTCCTCTTGCTTTTGGCAGGACGGCCAGGGCGGGCCCGGGGGGGCAGAGGGACAGCCGTCTGCGCGAGAGGGAGGCGGGAAGTGACCAGACGGCTGGGCGTCGGGCGGGGCCCTCCTGCCCCCTCACGCCGCCACCACCCACTGACACACTCACTCGGGTTGTGGGGCTGGGGTCCAAGGCGACGTCCTGGCGGGAGCTACTGCTGTTCCTGGAGGGGCTGCAAGGAGGACACGCGGTCAGGAATGCTGTCCGAGCGCCAGGCGGAGCGCCACGCCTGGCCACGGAGGCGGGCGTGAGGGTTTGCCCGCTGGGCGCCCACGCCTCAGAGTCGCTCCGGCTCAGTGAGCAGTGGGGAAGCCACGGCCGGCGGCCCAACACTCACTTGGATTTTCTTCTCCGGCCTCGACGAGACTTTCTGACTACCCCTGGAGGCACCTGGGAAGAGACGGGCTGCGTGCAGGAAACGAGGAAACGGGCCGACGGTCCCAGCCTTCACCTTTCGGCCCGGACCGCCGGTTCACTGCGCTCACCTTAAGGTCCTCAGAAGGGGGCCCAGGCGGGGATGGATCCTTGGGCTCCGCACCCCCTTCAGCCAGCTCCCCATTATGCTGCCAGTGGTGCGTCCTCCTCGGGGACCGCTCCACTTGTCCGTTGAAGCCCCCGCGTGCTCCCCACTTGAGGGCCAGCTGACCAGGCTCCCGCCGACCACCAGGCTTTCGGCCCCGGCCTGGCCTGGCCTCACCATTAATGCCCCTAAGTCCCCCTCCTCCCCTCCGGCCCCGTTTCCCTGACCCCCTCCCAGTGAGCAGCTCAGGGACTGGAGGGTCAGGAGAACTGTGGGGTGGGGCTAAGGCACTGAGGGGAGGCCTGGCAGGCTCTGGTTCAAGGGCTGAGGTGGGGCTCTCGGGCGGCAGACAGGGCGCTTCTGGCTGCTCTGGAGGGGTCTGCAGACAAAAACCAAATTTCAATTGGCCTCCGGCCGTCTGCTCTGGCACCGGGAAGCCTGTGACAATTCACACCACCTGTATTTCGGCCGCGCCCTCACCTGGAGACTCTGTAGCAGGCAGGCTAGGGGGGCCTCTGAGAGGGATGGAGGGGCTCCCCCCCCAGGGAGGAGCTGCAGCCCCAACTGGCCAGAGAGAAGAGGGCCAGGAGGCTGCAACAGGCTGGGGAGGGTTCCAGGGCCGCTGGTCAGCGAGGACAGGTCACCTGTAGAGGAATTACAAAGTCGGGTCTCCCCAGGCAAACCTGTTGGCCCAAGTAAACGTCAGTCATTCGGGCTTTACTCCAGGGTCCAAGACTTCGCTGCTCTCCAGCTCACCCAGCCGCCGCGCCCCGCTCCTCCTGCTTCCCTTTCGCGCCAGGCTTCCCTCACACTTACCCAGCAGGCTGGCACTCAGCAGAGGGTTAAGGAGTTGGGGGGGTCTCCCTGAGTTGGAGGGGGCCTTGCCCAGAGAGGAGGCCCCCAGGTCAGTAGTTGCCGTGGTGACACTGGAGGTAGGTGGTCCAGGTTGGGGGGCACTCAGGACGCAGGGCTAGACAGCATGAGGGCAAGACACATCCAACCCAATGGAACCCACAGCACCGCCACGTGCACTGAAACCCCACGTGAGGTTGGCTACGCTATCAGACGCAGACCTAGCTCCTGCAGTCATCACCCGCCCCCCCCACCCGGCCCCGAGGACAGCTGAGGCAAGAAACCAAAAGCTTCTGATGCCCATCTCCAAGCCAACCTCTTGTTCTGTCCCCCCCACTCACCCCTTATCCTTACCTGGGGGGGTGTCCCCGGGGGCGGGTCCAGGCTGGCAGCCAGCAGCGCAGAATTTAAAGCTATGAGGGTAGGGGGGCCTGAAAGTGGGGGGAATAGCAGGGGGGGCAAGTCTCCCAAACCTGAAAATGTCTCCCCACTTGGACCCCCAGCTCCCTCTGCAGATCCTTCGCTGTCCCCAGCTGTGGGGCCCAGGGTCAGCAGGGGCAGGAAAGAAGCTAGGAGGTTGCTAGGAGGTGCAGAAGGGGGTGGCAGGAGGTCTGAGGGGGGCGGCGGAAGCAGGGAGGTCACTAAAAGCGAAGGCCCTTCAGGCTCGCCTGGTGCTATGGGAGGGCCAGGTCCCCCGGGCGGGGGCAGCAGGGGCTCAGGGGGCGGCTGGCCCCCTCCCCCCGCCAGCACACCAAACAAACTGTGGCTGAGCACTGGAGAAGGGGGTGGCTGCCCCAGCCCCAGAGGAAGAGGCAAGGCCCCCAGCACCCCCGGGAAGCCGGCTCCACTCAGGGCCAGGCCCTGCTCGGGGCTGGGCAGCGGGAAGGCCTCCCCACCAGCCAGGGGAGGCAGGGGGCAGGCTGGGCCCGCCCCCGCCCCAAGCCCTTCCGCGGGGCTTTGAAGCACGGGGCTGGGGACCAGGGGGGCTTTGGAGGCAGCTGGCGGGGCAGGGGCACCTGGAAAGGAAAGAAAAACGCGCGGCTCAGGGGAGGCCCTGCTCCCGCCGCCCCCAGCCCCTGCCTCCCTGCCCACAACCTGCCCCTCAGCGCTCTGGTGCTGCCCGCCACTGGGGAGGGCAGGCGTGCCACTTCACACACCTGGCACACTGCTGAGGCTGCCACTGGCGGTCCCAGGCAGGGAGGGCTGGATGGGGTGCCTGGGCGGGGGAGGGCTCCCTGAGGAGGGGGTCGGGGGAGGAGGGAGGTGTGCACCTGGCCCCAAAAGGTTAAAGCTTCCGTCAGAGTGGGAAGGGCTGGGGCCAGGGAGCCCCAGCAGGGACAGCACAGAAGGGAGGACCGGCTGGGATGGCTCAGGGAGAGGAAAGGGCCGGGGGACAGGGGCCGGGGCCCGGGGGCGGCTCCTTCTGGGGGCTTGAAGCCCCCCGCCCTCCAGCAACCGCAGTACAGCCGGAGGTCGGCGAGGGCGGCGCTGGGAGGGTCTGGGGGACGAGTGGGAAGCGGGGGGCGCCTGGGCACGGGGCCTTCGGCCCTGTAAAGTGCGGGGAGGGGGAAGAGGGGGTTGCTGTGCCTTGGCCGCTGCAGAGAGTAGGCTGCTGGCAAGGAAGGGGGGTGCCCCAGGCCCCTCCACTGCAGGTGCCCCTCCCAGGGGCCCCAAGACCAGGGGCAGGTGCATAGTGGCTGAAGACACTGGCGGCTGAGTGGTGGGGCCAGGGGGGCCAGGGGGAACAGGGAGATTATTGCTTGGGGGCGGAGGAGGGGGTGTTAAGGCATCACTACAGTGGAAGAGAGGAGGGTCTGTCGGTGGGGAGGAGGATGCCCGAGGAGCTGGAGGCGCACCCAGGTCAGGGGGCAACAGGCTGGATCGGAGGGCAGCTCCCCAGTTGTACGCGGGGGCGTTGAGGCTGATAGCGGGTGGGGGAGGTGGGGCTGGAGAGGGGGCATTTCCCCTGGGGAGGAAATGGGGGCTGCCGCCACCTCCAGAAGGGACTGGGTCAGGAAGCCTCGGCGGAGGGAAGAGCCCCCCAGGGCCTGCTAGTGGGGGGAAGGCCTGTGGGGCTGAGGGTGGTTCTGGGGGAAGGGAACCGGGACCCCCATTAAGTGGAGTTGCAGGAGGGGCTCTACAGGGTGGGCGGGCAGGAGGGGGCCCCGGGGACACAGTGTGGAACATCTGGGGGTTCGATCCCTCTCCTGCAAGAAACAAGAAATGAGACGTCAGCCTGCAGCTCCCCTTCCGGGAGCTCTGTCTTCTCCACCCCACTTCCCACAGGCCCCCAGCCCCCCGTGCCAACCCTCACCAAGCAGGTCACCTCCCTGTCACAGCGCCTCCACTAGCCTCCTCCCGGGCCCTTGAATGTTGCCCGGTCCAAGTGCGGCGAAGACTCACCAGGAGAACGTGAGCAGGTGGTCTCCATGCTACGGTACAGAGTTGCCATGGCAACGGCTTTCCGCCGGTGGTTGCACAGCTTGGTCATGTCCTCCTCTGATGCTGGCCCCACCCCAGCCCCACCCGGGGTCACCGGGGCCAAAGGGTCAAAGTTGAAAACCTGTAAGGTAAAGGGCACGGGCCCTGAAGAACGGAATCGGAGAAGGGACGCGCTGCGTGACCGGCCTGACGTCTCATGGCTCGTCCCTGCACTCGGGCACCCCTCTGACCTTGGGGACATTGAGTGGACACTCCAGACCGCACTTGCAGGTCCCATCGCTGAGGAGGTAGCTCCGGGTTTGCTCCAAGGAAGACAGCTCTGTGCCACTTGGGCTGGGAGAGGACGGGGAAGAGTGTGGGGTGAGTGGGCAGGGAGCCGGCAGAGGCCAGAGCAGGTCCCTGGCCAAAGGCCATCCCAGAAAGGGGCAGCAGACGGGGGCACTGGGAAGACCCAGAAAGGCAGGCCAGAGGCACAGAGCAGAGCCGGGCAGACAGAATAGCGCCAGAGCCGAGTCGGGGACCAGAGAGGGAGCCCGCGGGCAGCACGGCCGGGGCGTACCTGATATAGAGCACGGCACCCTCTCGAACACGGCGCTGCCAGCCCACGGGGACAGGTGTGGCCCCAGGGCCCCCAGCTCTGTCTGCTCCGCTGCTCTCATTGCCCCCATTCATTGTGTGTGGTCGGCGCCCACGGGCCTGGGGAGACAGGCGCCACGTGGGCGTCAGCGAGACCACTGGCCCGTGAGGACTGCCGGGTCACCCACAGGTCCGGGGGCCGGGGAGACCCTTGGAGAGCTGCGGGAGAGGACCCGAGCCCTCCGCCGCCCACCGGCAGTACCTGAACATCTCTGCAAACATTGTGGGGTCCAGTCTGAGGCCCGGCGGTCGGCTTAGCCCACACCTGCAACACAGGAGAGGGGCTGTCAGCTGCGGTCAAGCCGGGGCTGCCACAGCTGGACACGGAAGGTGGGTCAGAGGAGAGGTGCCGGGGAAACTCTGCACGGCCGCCCCCGGCCCCCCAGACACCCTCTGGTCAAAGCCCCTATTGCCAGTGGCCAAGGAACACGGTATACAAAGGGGTCGGCCCCCTTAATCCCGCCAGGAAGGCTTCACCCCGCGGCTCAACGAGTGCCCACACTACCAGACCCCTAAGTTCCCTGCGCCGGCCCCAAGGCAGCCCCCACCCCACGGCGGCCCCCACCAAGTCCACAGAGCAAGTCCAGACTGCCAGAGAGGCCCGGCGATCGCCCCACGGCCCCCTGGGAGGTGTCAGCAGGGCGCCCCCCAGCCTGCCAGGCAGACAAGCCCCGGTCCAGTTCTTGGGGTTGGGTTTTCTCCAAAGGCCGGAATCAGCTTTGTCTTCTCAGGAACCTGAGAACCCCCCCCCCCAAGTTTAAGGCTCGGGGACTTAACAGCCCCTGTCCCGCCGGCTTCGAGTCCCTGCGGTGCGAGCGCACCCCTCGACCCGCCGGCAGCCCCCCCTCGCGCCCTCCCGCCGCGGCCGGCGACTTGTAAACTTTCCCTCGCACAACAAGGCGCCCTGTCACCCAGCCTGCTTCCCCCGGCCGGGAGGAGGGGAAGGCGCTCGAAGTAGGAAGGAACTTGGGGAGCGGGCGGGCGGAGGGTGGGCGAAGCGCCGCGGGGAGGCGGGGGGCGGGCGCG